CATGGGAGTCATTAAAGACAACACAACTTCACATACACAGACTTGCAAAAGCCCTGGTAGATATATGGGGTAGCTGAAATGGACATCAATGTTCTTTCTCTTCAAAAGTTCTGTTCTATTAATTTAGAAAGTTTTATTAAAATTTTCAATGTATGTGTTTTAAAATCGCAGGGGTTCTTTTGCACTGATTTTGTTACATAATACAATTCTATTATTTGGAACATAATTCATCTTTATTAATTCACAACATATGCTGCTGAGTGCTCAGCAGTTCAGAAAGCAACCAATTACCTGTTACTGCACTGTATCATACAACTCAGAGGATCAGTCACAAACCAGAATAATAGGTGAGCTGACAATGTTACATTCCTATGTAGAGTAATCACCACACAATTCCTACCAGGCCACAAAAGAGCGGGGCCAGATAGAGCATACAACACCCCCACACATTACTGCACTCACGGTTAAAATTGCCTTTCAAAGCCTCCCTGAGCTGTATAGCTCCGTGTTCACCTCTTCTAATAGCCCTGTTCAAATTCAGCAGACAGCCACTCCACCTCTGCCCTCCATCCCGGCAGAAACTTTTCCCCTTTTGCTTCACACATATTATGCAGCAGGCAGCTATAAACATTGGGATATTTTTCTCCCTGAGGTCCAATCTTGTGAGTAGGCAAAGCCAGCGACCCTTCAAATGACCAAATGCACAGTCAACTGTCACAATACCTGCTGAGCCAGTAGTTGAATCGTTCTTGGTGCTGTCGAGGTGACCAGTCTATGGCTTCATGAGCCGGGGAGCAAGGGGCGGCATTTCAATATTGCCAGTGGCAATATGTCAGAAAGGAAAAATAATCCATGCTTGTAGCTTTCTGAACAGTCCTGCGTTCTTAAAGACGTGTCATGCACCTTCCCGGACCCAACACTGATGTCGGTGAAGCGTCTCGACTAATCCACCTATGCTTGCATAACCATAGAAAAGTAGCCCTTTCTATTGATGTACTCAATGGCAACATGGTCTGGTGCCAAAATAGGGATATGCATGCCATCTATTGTTCCACCAAAGTTCAGAACCCCACAGCTGCAAAGCCATCCAGTATGTCCTGCAAATTGCAGAGTCACAATCCTGCACAGCATGAGGCATTTCAAGGCTCTGTACACTCGCATGACAACAGCCCCCGCGGGGGATTTCCTGACTCCAAATTGATTTCAGACAGGTAACAATCTGGTGTCCCAAGTTTCCACACTTGTGAGCACCACTCACTTCTCCACTGTCAGTGCAGGTCTCATTTTGGTGTCCTGTGCTGAAGGGCTGGGGTAAGCTCCCTACACAGATCCAGGCACATGGCCTTGTATATCCAAAAGTTCTGCAGCCACTGCTCATCATCCCAAACCTGCATTACGATGCGATCCCACCAGTCAGTCAGTGCTTGTTTCTCAGGTCCAGAAGTGGTGTTCCGCCATCTCCACCTGTTCCATGCATACCGCCAACAACATTCAATTGATTCTTGCTATGTCCCATGACAATCTGTCCTTCAAGGAATCGTTATGCCCCCCACACCGCCATTCAGGTCTTCTTGCGGCTATGCAAATACTACAGGATCGTGAACCCTGTGCTTTAAGTGCTCCTGACAATAGTACAGAATTGTGCAGGCTTCATGCTTCTGTCTAAGATGGCAGACAACAAGGAGGGACAAGCGGGTTTGTGGGATTTTGAAAAAAAGACACGAAAATTATGGGATACAGATACAATTATGGGATGGAGACAGTTGCAAACTGGGACATTGACCCATGCTCCCAGTCACCGCATGCGACTCATTTTGGCCCCATCATGCATTGCCAAAACTCCCCAAAAATTAGCGAGCTGGATAGTGTCGAGTTGCACAGTGAGATTGCCTACCCATTGTGCACTGTACTCTGCATTGACACAAGTACTCCTAGTGAATACACGCACTGCCAGCACAAGGAGTCAAGTATGCACGTGCACAAGTGATGTGCTAACTACAGCAGCTGTATGCTGATGTAACTCAAGTCAACATAAATTTGTAGTGTAAACATAGCTTTAGTCTGGCTCACTTATAAGAACATAAGAATGGCCATATTGGATCAGACCAATTGTCTATCTAGCCCAGTATCCTGTCTTCTGACAGTGGTGAATGCCTGCTTCAAAAGGAATGAATAGAACAGGGCAATTATAGAGTGATTCATCCCATGTCATCCAGTTTGTGGCAGTCAGAGGCTTAAGGAGACCCAGAGAATGGGGTTGCGTCCCTGACCATATCGGCAAATAGCCTGTTAGGGGTCTATCCTCTATGAACTTATCTAATTCTTTTTTGAAGCCAGTTATACTTTTGGCCTTTACAACATCCCCTGGCAACAAATTCCAAAGGCTGACTGTGTGTTGTGTGAAGAATTACTTACTTTTGTTTGTTTTAAAACTGCTGCCTATCAATTTCATTGGGTGACCCCTGGTTCTTGTGTTCTGTGAAGGGGTAAATAAAACTTCCTTATTCACTTTCTCTATACCATTCATGATTTTATAGTCTTAAAAAAGAGGCAACTAAGATCTAACAGTGCCATTCTTTTTAATCTTTCCTCATATGAAAGCTGTTCCATACCCCAATCATTTTTGTTGTCCTTCTCTGTCTTTTCCATTTCTAAGATACCTTTTTCAAGATGGGGCGATCAGAACTGTACAAAATAGCTGTGGGCATACCATGGATTTATATAGTGGCATTATATTTATTTATTATCTATCCCTTTCATAATGGTGCTTAAAGTTGTTAGCTTTTTTGACTGCCGTTGCACATTAAGCTGATGTTTTCAGAGAACTAATCACAATGACTCCAAGAGTTCTTTCTTGAGTGGTAACAGCTAAATTTAGGCCGCATCATTTTGTATGTTTAGTTGGGATTATGTTTTCCAATACGTATTACTTTGCATTTATTAACACTGAATTTCATTGGCCATTTTGTTGCCCAATCTCCCAGTTTTGTGAGATCCCTTTGTAACTCTTCGCAATCTGCTTTCGACTTAACTATTTTAAGTAATTTTATATCATCTGCAAACTTTGCCACCTCACTGTTTACCCCTTTTGCCAGATCATTTACAAATATCTTGACCAGCACTGGTCCCAGTACAGATCTCTCAGGGACACCACTATTTACCTCTCTCCATTCTGAAAACTGACCATTATTCCTATTGGTTTTCCATCTTTCAGCCAGTTTCTGATCCATGAAAGGACCTTCCCTCTTATCCAATGACTGCTTAGTTTGCTTAAGAGCCTTTGGTGGGAGACTTTGTCAAAGACTTTCTGAAAGTCCAAGTACACTATACCCACTGGTTCACCCTTGTCCACATGCTTGTTGACCCCCTCAAAGAATTCTAATACATTGTTGAGGCATGATTTCACCTTATAAAAGGCATGTTAACTCTTGCCCACCATATCAGGTTCATCTATATTTCTGTTCTTTTCTACAGTTTCAACCAATCTGCCTTAAATTAGGCTTACTGGCTTGTAATTGCTTTCTTTGAAGACTAGCTCTTATTCTGTACTTTCCCTGTCTGTGCAAATAGATGCTTTTTCCCTTTAAAAACACATACCACAAAGTCTATCTTAAAGAAAAGAAGAAGAGGTGCACGCCTCTTTAACACTATCAGGTGCCCATGACTATTTCCCTGTATATAAATTACTCTAGATCTCTGACCTAATTTTTGAGGCTTGTTCTCTAAAGGCTCCTCCCTTTATGACTATTGTAGTTTGCCAATCTTGCTTAAGCTCATGACACTACATCTTCCGCAATCAGATAAACAAAATAAATAGCCCCACTGAAATGTTTACATTTCATAGGCAGACGGATATCAGGGAATTTCACATTTATTTTAAAACACACTTCAGATAAGTGGCCTCAATTTGCTCTGAACATGTCACATCAACAGCTACACTTATCAACATGAACAACAACTTAGAATTCTAAGAATGTGATGGTCTTACAATGAAGGAAAGTGTTGCCTTTAAGTACCCAGGATGTAAAACAAAGGATCCTTTCAAACAATACATGATTAAACAGGAATTATTTCATTACTCATGACTCAGGGCATTCCTAAGAGACTGATACTGTAAGGGGTTAAAGTGCTGAACTTGTGCAGTTCAGTTGTTTCTAGTGCAGCTGAAACTTTATTTTATGGAGTGCTACTTTCAAGAGTCTACTTCATAATGAAAGAATGTTGCTGTGTTCACTCCATAATTCCAAATATGCTCTTCAACAATATACACACTAGAAAACTCTCATCTGTTCAGAAATCGTGCATGTGGCAACATATTTGTCTGTAGAGTTCAAGGCTAGCCCTGTGCCATTGTTCCCTTCATGCTAACTATATTGTTGTCGCATCCAGCTCCCACGAAGTATTGATCCGATTCCTGAATGCAAAATTCATTTCAAGAGTGAAAGAATCAGAGGGATAACTGAAATTAACTATATGAAAGTTCTTCAGTTACAAGAAGTGTACCAGTGAGGAAATCGGAGTTTGGAGGTAAAAACAAAAAACCCCAGCGAACTTCTGCTCTCAGATCTGCAGCTCAAAACTTCATTCCCATATTCTGCTCCCATTACAGCTATCCAATTCTTGTTGACCTCATCTGCAGTTGTTTGAAGGTAGGGAGAGGGGGAAAAATCAGCTTTTAAGGTCAACATGCAGCAATGAGAACAGAATGTTGCCCAAACATTATTTCTGAGAGAATACATCTGTTGGAATAATCTTTAGAATAAGTATATATCACTATATTAATCTACCACCCACTTGACTGGTCTTGATAATTATAACAGATTCTCTCATTTCTAGTCAGTTTCCAACTTAAAGTTTTCTGTTTATTAAAGCATATTTCGATGACAAAATGTCAGCTGACAATCACTTATTAAAATCTTGCAGTGCACTTCAACTCCACAAATTAACATATGTCATATTAACAGGTTGCCAGTTTATCATCAGCTAGATTCACATCCTACCTTCACGCCAACTGCAACATCAGTGACAATGCTGTAAAAAAAAAAAAAAAAAACAAGAAACCTGATTTAACAGTAAGAAACATGCCCGAGTTTTCAATCCACAGATTGACTCTCAAAATAAGTATGATTTCCCCATAAAACTCAACTCTTAATATATTTTAATTAACTTTAGTATTTAAAAACATTGGTGGCTCTGCCTATTAAAATAGCAAAGACCACCCCCTCAAAAGAGGAGAGGGGTCAACAAAAAACAGAACAGGAATGGGAGTGGGCTCAAAGGTTCAGAATAGAAGATATCCAGAAGGCACACTGAACAGAGAATCCCTGCGAGTGCCCACAGCTACAAAAGGCGTCCATGATGTCAGTGAACACTACCCAAAGGAGCTCTGTCTGGACACAGAACTTAAGAAGTGAGAGGAAACAGGTCCCACAGTCAGAGAGGAAACACATCCATCTAGCCTCCTCCTTCTAGAGTCTGATAGATATCCATTTTGGCCAATGCCGGAAAGTCTGAAGAGGGGGTCTCTGAACTTTGTGGGACAATGGATAGGGTGAGAATAGGAGGATTTAAGGACAGGTGTAGTCCGTAAGAGAACCTTTTTGTTCATTCTTTAACAGTGATCCTTACAGAATAGTTCAGGGCAGAAAGTGATTAATACTATTTCTGAACTGAAAATGATGAGCACATTGAAGGCTAGATCCTACAAATGGCACCCTACACCCATGTGGAACAACAGCACAGACATGCTCTTATAAGAACATATGAATGGCCACACTGGGTCGACCAAAGGGCCATCCAGCCCAGTGGCCAATGCCAGGTGCCCCAGAGGGAGTGAACCTAACAGGTAATGATCAAGTGATCTCTCTCCTAGATCCATCTGCAGGATCTAGCCCTGGGTAGGCAGACTATAACAACCCAAAAGAGAATATAGCCAGGATACCCGAATTAACACAAATATCATAAAATGTTAAAACAAAATGTGGTAAGTACAGCATGCCACTTCCATAGGTTTCAATGTGCGGGTAGCACAAAGGATTAACTTTTTAGACAGGGTTTGTAATACCACCATTATGTTGATAAGCAATCATAAAAAGACTTTAAAATCAAACTACCAATAGGTTATACTTTTATCACACAAACACAAGAGATTGTTTTATTGGTCTCAAAAGAGGGAGGCAAATTAAATGGGAGCAGTAAAATGCAGCACAAGTACAAGTGTTTATGCTGACAGTAGCTATAAACACCAGCCACGGTTCCCAGCCCCAATGAAAAGAGGGCCTTGTGTATAACTACCCACCCAAGCTCCCTGTCACGAATGAAGGCCCTTGCTGTCCCATATGGTTGACGCCTGCAAACCATTCCCTACTTGGGCTTTGGCTGCCTGTCTCCAGTATACACAAAGGCATCTTTCTACCTTAAATAATAAAAGCCAGGGGCCTATTAAGCAGCTACTGAAAACAAAAGAGCTTGACATCTGCCTCCTCCTGCCGCTGCTCCTCCTCCTCCTCTCTGGCCAGCTCTAAAAAAAGCAGGGGTCTTGTTCAGAGCGTTTCCCCTAACCCCACAAACGAGGGGAAGGGGATAAGAGAGAGGGGAATGGGGACACCCCCCTCCCACCCCATTTACAGGGCCACAGAATGAACAGGGCGCCAAATAACGGCTCACACAGCCCTGGGTGAGTCAGGAACGGACCCGCCCCAGCCACGCATCTGAGTCCGCGTTATACAGAGGCTCGCCCCCGCCTCCCGCCCCCATCCTCACTGGGCCCCAGTCGGTCTCCAGCTGCCCCACAGGGAGGATCCAGGAGCTCATCCCCATTATTCAGTGGGGTGTGCTGGGAACCCTGCTCCTCCCAGACACCCACGGGCAGGGGAGCGAGCCCCGCTCCGCCCAGCCCCCGACGGGAAGGCAACAATAAACCGGCAGGCGCGGCGGCGGCACCCGCTCCCCCACCGCCCAGTTACTCACCCGTCCATCGCCGAACAAGACAAAGCGCTGGCGAGCAGGGCAGGGAGCCGCGCGGGCAGCGAGAGGAGAGAGGCAACGAGAAAATGGCGGCCGGGCCCCCACGGAAACCGCCGAAGGTTGCCGAGTGCCAGGCTCTGCTCCCCATCAGATTGGGCTCCCTCGTTGTCACTGGGCATGCCCGTGCGATCTGCGCATGCTCAGTAGCAGCAACCCCTCGTCTCCTGCCTGTCTGAGCCAAACTCGTCTCCCCTCGGGGGGCGGGGCAAAGCAGGCAAAAGATGCTGGGCGTTTTCCCAGCCTTGCTGCCCACAAGGCCCACCTCACATCTGTCTCCCAGCTCTGCTGACTGGAGGCCCGCTCTTTGGATTTCCCTCAAAGTCTGGCTCCTGTAGCTGGGGAGAGACTTCTCAGCCCTGCTGCCAGGCTGAGTCTGAGAAGAGACACTGGCCAGATCTGATGCATGGGGATTTGGATTGGATTCCGCAGGCTCCAGCCCTGGTGCCAGGCATCACTTGTTGCAGGAAGAGACTGTCCAAACTTAGTGCCACATCTCCTTCATTTCTGGGGTGGGAGAGAGAGTAGTTAAAGTCTTTCTCCTCTTGTAATGGAAAATTTTGGAGAGGAATTGCCATCAATAGTCCATCTTCTGTAGTATCCTGCCTCTCCAATTCGCCAGTGCAGGGTACTTCAAAGGCAATCTCATCATGCACCTAATTTTGCAACAGTATTCCAAAGGAGAGGAAAGAAATTCTTCCTGTTTTAAATTGATAACCATTAGCTTATGTCCTGAAACACGAGCAGTGAAAAGGTAGACATATTATTGCACACAACATAATAATTATTGCAGCTAGTGCAGTTAGTCGTAGATATCAACCACTCTTAAGACACATGATGAACAAAAAAGCAAAAACATCAAGCATGCTATAATATGTTCCCCTCTCCCCCCAAGCAATTAAAGATTGCACACAATGGCTCGTACTTCCCTGTACCAATGTCAAAGCTGACAACAAATATACTTTAATTGGTATTAAGATGAACATATAATTTAAGGCCTAAATCCTGTATTGTACAATATGCAGGTGGATTAATGCACATTATGCAATACATGAGAGTCATTAGCGTTATTGGTCAATGATCCTTCTGAAGTCATTGGGACTCCTCAAGGCCACAACAGTCCTGCAATGTTGTACATTGCAGGATTTGGGCCTAAATCTAAAATAGGTATATTTACACTACACAGCCATTAAATAGCGTGTTTGGTTTCACAATGTTGCAAACTCTCTCTGTTGTAGCATGAGTCTTGCAATATTTGATGTTTTACTTATATGTAAGGCTCCTGGAGACAGCTGATTATGGGAGAATCTCAGCTTTTATTTCTTTGAAAAAAATAAGTTTCTAGCCTTTGTAATTATGGAGAAAAACTTAAAAAATGTGAACCAAAGGCTCAAAAACCAGCAGGGAAATAAAAAGAACTCAACATGCATTTTGTTTAAAAAAATATTCTCACGATTTTTAAGCCAATCTCATGATTTCTTGGGTCCTGCCTCATGGTTTTGGTAGGGACGTGCTGGGCACCGCTTTCTGCGGCTCCTATTGGCTGGTAACGGTGAACTGCGGCCACTGGGAGCTGCAATCAATGTCAACAAACAGTCTTGCGGCCCGCAGGTTGCCTACCCCTGGTCTACTCTTGTTCAACCGACTTTGATAGATGTAGTGTGAATGTAGATACTGCATGACCAGTGTCAACCCGAACAGTCCTCCAGCCACTATCCCACAATGCCCCAATCCCCACTACAGTGACCGCTCTGCTCATAATTTAAAACTCTACAGTTGAGAGGTCACATATACTGAAAGCCTTCCCCCCACCCTTTTAAAAAAAATTTAAAATGTACTTTGCTTGTTGCCCACCTTGGCGAACATACTTAGCAGCTCACCTTTGTGAGTGTGTCCGCCCAACAATGACCACACACACACATAAAGGTAATAGATGCACTAATGCCTGGAGCAGGCAGGAAGAACTCGATTTCCTGGGCCTGTGGGGAGAAGAGGGTATGCAAGCACAGATATGGAACAGCCCTAGAAACATGGATATCTCTGAGTAGATTGCATGGAGGATGCAGGCTAAGGAGTGCAATAAGGATCAGCAGCAATGCCACATAAAAGTAAAGGACCTTCACTAGGAATACCACAAAGTGAGAGAGGGCAACAGGAAATCTGATGCTGCCCCACAGACCTGCTGCTTTTACAACGAAGTCTGTGCCATACTTGGTGGTGACCACACCAGCACCCCACGGACCACTGTGGATACCTCAGAGGAGCCCAAGACGGAGACCACTGCCTTGAAAAGCAAGGAGGAGGAGGAGCAGGAGTAGGGAAATGCAGTGGGGGACTCCTACCATGCCATGAGCCAAAACCTGTTCGAAACTCCACAGAACTCTAGCCAGTCTTGTCAAGTGAGCTCAGATGAGCCCACTGATGAAGGGAAAGGGAGCTTAGATAAATGTGTACAGGCAATTTTCCTTACTTTTTATTTTATTTACTTTTCCTTCCTCTTCCCCCTTCCCCATGCCATTTAAAGATGACACCCAGACCATTCCCATATTATAAAACAAAAGGGACTGATTTTTCACCGTTTTACTCTGACAAGATAAGTTAGGAAGTAAATTCAAGCCAAATTCTCAAACAATACTATATGCAGAGTTGGTGTAGCCATGTCAATCCCACAATACCAGAGAGACAAGGTAAGTGAGGTAATATCTTTTATTGGACCAACTTCTGTTGGTGAGACAAGCTTTCGAGCTTACACAGAGCTAGTCTTCAGGTCCCTGAAGAAGGGCTTTGTGTAAGCTCAAAAGCTTGTCTCACTTCTGTTGGTCCAATAAAAGATATTACCTAACCCATCCTGTCTTTCTGAACAGTACTATGGCTGTTGAATTAAATAAATCACATTGATTCAGTGTCCTGTGCTCATTTTGAGGTAGAACAAACAGGAATATAGTCAGCATCTGCCAAGAAATCTTGATAAAACTTTCATGGAGATATTCTGCAGTCCTCTCCGGAAGGTTTCTAGCGATGTCAGCCTTATTTCTTTCTCCATGATAGGACACTTTCCCACACCACTCTGCGATGAATGTGGCTAGTGGCATAGAGGCCCTGGGAGCTTCGGGGTGAGATAGCCAAAATCTACCAGTTGTTTTCGCTGTGCCTTTGTGACCCTCAGGAGTGAGACAGCCAAAATTACCATTGCCTGTGAAAATAGTGTGAATATTCATTGCCATTACCCTGTACTTATACCATAGAACAGGGGCCAGAATTTTATAGCTTCATGCAAAAGAAAATCCACTGCCCCACCCCTAGTAGGCCATACTCACCATGGTTGGTGCTGGAGACAGTGCTGTGCCAAGGCACTCCAAAACTGAAGTGTCAATAAGCATTTCTTATTCAAAGTATTATTGGGAATAAGGGAAGGGAGTTTTGAAACTTATCTTTCCCTTTTAATTATGACTGTAAATCTAATATGTATGTGTGTGTTTTTATCAGCAGCTTCTGGTGTGGCGACCTTAAAGGTGCCCCCTCCACACCTGCAGAATGCCTGATCCCGAGGAGGAGAGCAAGAAGAGGTAGGACATAATCTGCAAGATCCGACAAGCCAGTGCTGCATCAGACCATGAATAAAGGGCTTGGAGGGCATACCATGTTGCATTATGAAATACATCCTAACCCCTCCCACTCCATGCTGGGGTACAATAAGGAAAACCACAGCTTCACATACACTGACCTGTGAAAAATCACATATTGGTGTATTTGTAGCCACAACAGACTAAGCTGAATTTTAAAAAGTTTCACCCTATTAAGTTATGTTAAAAGTTTGTATAACATTATGTGTGATTGTTTGCACTCCGATTTTGTGCACTCAGTTGTTGCACCTAAAACTTTATTATCCATGAAAATATAAACAATCACGATAGGGGGAAAAGGCATAGGTGCACATTCCCCTTCCTCAAGCCTGGAGATTGGTTTGACTTTTTGTCACAAACATTACACACTGATGACTAGGCCTGACATGGCTCCTTAACTTGGTGGACTCCTGCACACCTGAACCCAAGGAACAATTACCACACATACCAATGTAAAGGGGATCACAATCTAACCCTGAAATGGGTTAAGTCACTCAGGTTGGAAGTCACTCTTACACTGGATGTCTAATGCAGGTGTCTTTAATGGTGATTCTGCATTTAGCGCCCACACAGCATGCCCTTGAGAGTGAAAGGCGCCCCACCAGTACAGATCTAGGCTACAGCATTTGGTCTTTTTTAAATTCTGATTCAGTGGTCTTATTTTCAAAAATCCGATTGTTTACTGTCAAAGCACTATTTTCATGGATGTTGCATTTTTACATTGTAATAAGAAAGTACACAGTGATAATGTTTTTTATCGCAAGTTGTCTCCCATAGGTTTATCCATGGGAAAGGGTGATTTCGCTACCTTATACCAAGGACAGACAGCAACAGCTATAGCTTGATTGCCTTACATTTTCCATTATGATATCCTGTTTTCAGTTCCTTATAATTTTTTTCAAACGTAACTATTTTCCATCCAGGGTATGTCTCTCAAGTCAATTTTCTTTTCTTCCAGTAAAAGCAGTTCAGTAGTTTCACTGAATGAGGTCAGGAAAAATACATTACTTTGCCCATGTTAAAAAATCCTTATAACTGTTTGAGATGCTTTAGTGCCTCCATGTTTTGGAGCACGGTCTTAAAATTTGGCAAGGGGGAGGGAAGTCACGGTGGTGTCAGGCTCAGGGATATGCCTTTTTTCATCTCTGTGAAAATACACTCACCAAGTTATGAGCCACTAACAAAAACTGTTTGCACATTGTCAGCAGAGCCTTGTTAGAGTTTGGCTTCTAAATTCTTTAAAGATACTATCTGCACTGACCAGGGCCTAACCAAGGGTGCGGGGACTAGCACCATTTCCCTAAAATTGCTCCTCACAGCTGGGGCTGCTGTGATGCAGGGCACAAGAAATGAGGGCAGAAAAACTCTCTCTTGTGCTCTGAGTGTGCCCCCTGCTAGCACACAGGCAGCAAGGAGGAGCAGACTGAGCTGACTCATTGCTGGAGATTAAGGAGCTTGACCTGGAGGGAGTTTTGCCACTGATTTAAATGGGAGCAGGATCAACTGTACATAATCTTGATTCTTTCCCTGAG